TGAACCGCAACCCTGTCGCTCACACATGAGCCAGTCCCCAGGGGTCCCTGCAGAACATCCACTCCAGACAAAACCCTCTGCCAAACATGAATCAATGGTAAATAATAACCTGTTAGTAGCCATGAAATAGGAAGTTTGTGCCAAGTCCTTGCTGGCTGAAAGAGAAAAAGAAAGAGCAAAGAGTTAGTCTGGCCATCCCGAGAGCCCCTACCACATTTCACCGCAAAAACCACAAGGTTTTTGTCCCCAAACAAAATAAGGCAGGTTTGGCTGCTGCTTCCTCTCACCTCGCACGAGCTGCGTGCACTTCACCACGTGGGTGTGCGGGTGGTCAATGGTGATCTCAAAGCCTGCAGGGACACAGACGTGGGGCCATCAGGTAGCGGCAGAGCCCAGGAGCCACCAGCCTCCCATTTCCCGCTCCCCTTCCCTCCTCCAGCCCCGCTCTGCGCTCCGAGCGGGAAGACGGGAGAGCCTCGTCCTTCATCCAGGAGATCCCAGGCCTCCAGCCACAGAACCTGAGGTCAGGGCTGCTGTGAGGCCTCCAAGCAGTTCAGTGATTCCCGGGCTTGAAAGAGCTCGCTGAAAACAAAACAGCTATTAACGATTTTTAAAAATAGCAGGACAGAGCCTCTCGGAGCAGCTGGGAGGAAGGAGAAGACAATGGCATTTGCTCAAAGGAATTTCTGTCACCCAAAAAGCTAAGAGGAAGCAGACGTCTTCCCTTTGAAAGGGTTTGCCACATTAAAGCCAATTGAACTTAATCCTCGCTTCAGTTTCCTATTTTGTTTGTACGTTATGGCTTAAAGGGAAAAAAAAATACTGAATCGGTCCATGTGTGTAACAGATTTAGGTTTTTCTGTGCAGAATAGTGTAGATGAGGGAGGAAGTTTAAAGAAAGAAAAGACCAACAGAAACACGATCAAAGTGTTAACTTCAATCCAGGTTTTGTCAGACATCTCCCAATGCAAACAGCTTCACTCCTGGCCACTGCACTAGAGGATTATCAAGTTTAGCAGCGTAACGGGGACAGCGACCCACGTTTGAGCAGAACAGACCTGCTGGAGAACAGGGGAAAAAGAGACGAGCCACATTTCCACATTTTAGCTTTCCTAACACGGAACTTAACACAAATTAAACCTGCAAATAAAGAATGTATATTTCAAAACACAAGGAACGGGGGCAAAAAAAAGAGCTCGTGGGCAGGACTCTGGCGTTCCCACTGTGCCGCTGCCCTCCGGCTGCGGAGGGACCCTCTGCCCTGGGGGGCAGCCCTGGGTCTGGGGGTCGAGGAGCAGCTTGGACAGACTTACCCAGGGTCTGCAGGATGATGCTCTCTAGAATGACCAGGTCCTGGGCTTGCTGCAGGTAAGCCTGCGGTCGAGAGGACACGCGCGTTACTCGCGGTGAGGCTCTCCGTGTGAAACCTGCCCATTTCCAGCACCCCACCCTCAAGGGGACAAAAACACAGCAGAGGGGAGGCTTTACGCTCCATTTTGGGAAACTGTCCCTTTTCCCTACTGGAAAAGAAAAGGGGAGCATGGGGTGGAGCTGTTCCCCTGTGAGCTCCTGGTCTGGGACGGCGGCTGCAGCATCTGCCTTGGCCCTGCTGGTCCTTGGGAGGGGTTAGAGGGCAGGGATGGCTATGGGACAGGAGGGATTTGGCTTCTTCTCTAAGTTTGGCACCTGGACAAAGCTTTGGGGCTGGCTGCTCAGCTGCAGGGAAGCAGGGCTGTCTCCAGAGATGAGGAATCATCAGTGTTTCTAATAAACCCCTAACTAAACAAGCAAGAATCGAGCTACATGCGTCACTGCCCAGGAACACTCTTTAACCCCAGCAACCACCATCCCCACGAAAACAGTCACACAGCACAGCCCCGGTGGCAGCAGGGAACACGAGTGGCAGCCACAGAGCGGGGGACAAAAACCTGCTGCTGTCCTGAAGTCCTGGGCAGCTCTGGAGCCCCAAAACGCACATAGGAGCCGTTGGGTCGGGCTGTAAGAAACTGCCCTACAGCCCAGCCGCTCGTTTGAAAAGGGGGTATCCGGGAACCCAGGGGTGCTAAAGGAGCCGGTTCTCCCCACAGCGCCGCGCGACCCGGGCAGGTCCCGCTGTCCCCGCTCACCTCGCTCCGCGTGTCCAGCAGCGTCTCCAGCGGGTGCAGACACGCGTGGGCCACCTTGATGACGTGCTCCAGCTTCCGAGGCTGCTCCTCCACCTTGGCTGCCAGGAAGAGAGCGGCCGGCGCCACCGACTTTGGGGGAGAAAAGCACTTCTGCGTTAAGCCTCTTTTAAATAAACACACTCGAGACCGAGAGAAGCTGGAGTATTTATTTCTTAAAGGCTGAAATAAGAA